ACAATCTGTCCTTATTTTGTCATATGGGATAATGTCAGCTGTCTCTTTTAGATTTGTTTACACTTTTTATCTCGTCTGGCTGGCCTTACTTTAAAGTGTATCTGTTGGATGTAGTTGAAAATAATGTTATATGTATTTGTGAAAAACTATGTCTGAATTGTTCAAGTAACTATTTAGCGACTCTTTAAAATTTGCATATTTTTTGTTGTCATACTATTCAAAGTATGTAAGGTACCTCTAGGTAACTATCGATAACTTTGTCGATAAATTGCAGTCAATCCCTGGCCTAATTGCGAAATTATTTTATCCCCAAATATTATGAAAATTACTAACTAATACACTATTACATATCGAAAATACGAAAGGAAATATAAGGATTTGCGTATTTTATTATTTTACTTAAAAAAAAGGCACATTTAAACAAAAAATTCACGTGTAATCCCAGTGACGACTTTCTGAGAATTTACCTGTAAAATGTGCAGTTTTCCGGGTAAATGTGAAGATTTGCATCAAATTCGCATCCTGAATACATAACCATCGTTGCACACTAATCAAATTATAAAAATAAATCAGGATTTCTGAAAATAACACCAAAATAATGTACAAGTAAAAACCAGCGGGTTGAATTGGGACGATCTGTCATAAAAAACAGGTTACAATGACATAAGGTTCGCTATTCTTTTCTATCTTACTGAGTTTCCATAAATCATTTTCTTCTCTTTTGCACACTATGTTCGTCTACGTTTCTATGTCTATGGTTCTAGTCTGGGAGTTACTGTTTAGTAACACAGTCGTTGTTTAAAATAATAATAAGTCACAATTTGTTATACTTATTTACCAGTTTTTTTCATTCATGATGTTTTTTACCCTGAACTAGGTTCAAGCAAGTCACAGTAAATATACAGGGTGTTAGGAAAAGTACTGTGTTCCTTTTGAGGGATGAACCAGCCCATGAAACTGAACAACTTTCCCCAAGAAACATAGGTCGAAATATGGAAAGAAATTTTGGACCTCCCATATTTAGTGTGTCGGCCGGCCGGGTCAGTTTGAATGGGACGACCAAATTTTTTTTATTGAATTTGAATTGAATTGAATTTATTTATTATCAGTATTACAATAATTCTTAAATTTAGTACATAGCCCCACAAAACCACTTTAGGGGTTTGTCTGTGGGATCGCCGAGTCTCACAAAAGTTATAATATAAACAAATACAAAAGAAGCTTAGTATCAAAACTTATTTGAGTTAGGTACAAGTACAATCAGTTAAATTTTTTTGTATGAAGTCACAAATTAGACAATAAATATTTTTTAAGTTTGGACGCAAACCTGTTTTTATTTGTTTCTTGTCTTATATCTGTAGGCAAAGTATTCAATAAATATGGGATACGCTTATCAAGCATTCTATCTCCAAAGTAGTTATTTACTCTGGGTACCTCATATTTGCCCACAGATACAGACTTGGTACAATGGTCATGAGCTACAAGTCTAAGGTTCTCCCGTATATATATATTTCGACCTATGTTCCCTGGGGAATGTTGTTCAGTTTCATGGTCTGGTTCATCCCTCTAAAGGAACGCAGTACTTTTCCTAACACCCTGTATTAAACTTCGCACAGCATTGCGCAACAAAACAACAATTTTAATTACTTACAAACTCCGTCCCTTAAACAAAAATAAATAATTTCCATGAAAGCCTTTTTTACGAGTTGGTAAGTAATTTTGTGGTGATTTCCACCATTTCATGTTTAGGTGCAGTAAAGTGGCTGTTCTAATTAAATCATACATTCTTTTCGAGCTGACATTAATATTCTGACAGAAGCTACGACAGGTAGATTCAGCATCGAGTACCCCTGTTTATGCTGAAGGGAAGTTTAGGGACGGGATTAAATGACATCGATATTATATATACTTACAAAAATGTAATAAGAAAACTTACATTCTTTTTTTGTGTTTTGTAATAAACTAAAATCATGCTTGCACAAGCACTTCTTCTACCTATTCTGGACTACGCTGATGTCTGTTATCTGGATGCGACGGAAGAATTACTCAATAAGCTAGAGCGACTACAAAACCTTGCTATCAGATTTATTTTCGGACTACGTAAGTTCGATCATGTCTCGGAATTTCGTGCTCAGCTTAAGTGGCTTCCAATTCGTCTTCGCCGCGATGTGCACATCCTGTCCACGCTCTACAACATCCTTCACAATCCCGCCACTCCCGACTATCTCCGCTCCCGCTTCCATTTTCTTCCTCCAGATCCCCGCCCTAGGCGCACCTGCATCACTAAGGTGTTGCAGTGTCCTAGAGCGAACACCAAATTTCTTTTTAACTCTTTTTCTGTTAAAGCTGCACAGCTGTGGAATAATCTTCCTAGGACTATACAGGAAAGCCCCTCTATTTCTGTTTTTAAAAAGCGAGTAAAAGAGCACTTCATTTCTCAACAACTTTGATATATTTATGTATGTTTATGTATTACTAGCAGCCCGCCCAGCGGTTTCACCCGCTGCTACTTACCTGTTTTCCCGTAGAAATTGGATCTTTGCCCGTAGTAAAAAGTCCATTACTCCGATCCAGCAGAGGTAAATATGCGAGCAGAAGCGGCCCGTCATGCTGAATAACTTTTACTTTGAAGCCATTACCGTATCTCTTACTGTTTATATGGGATGCTGGTGGTCTACATCAGGTACTCCAGCCCCTGGTGATCATGTGCCAGCAGAAGCGGCCCGTCATGCTCAATAACTTTTACTTTGAGGCTTTTACCGTATCTCTTATAGTTTATATGGGATGCTGGTGGTCTACATCAGGTACTCCAGACCCTCGTGACCATTTGCCAGCAGAAGCGGCCCGTCATGCTGAATAACTTTTACTTTGAAGCCATTATCGTATCTCTTATAGTTTATATGGGATGCTGGTGGTCTACATCGGGTACTCCAGATCCTCGATGACCATGTGCCAGCAGAAGCGGCCTGCCATTCTGAGTAACTTTACTTAAAAACCATTACCGTATCTCTTATAGTTTAGATGGGATGCTGGTGATGTTCATCAGGTACTCAGATCCTCGATGACCATGTGCCAGCAGAAGCGGCCCGTCATGATGCACAACTTTTTCTATGAAGCCATGGCCGTATCTCTTATAGTTTAGATGGGATGCTGGTGGTCTTCATCAGGTACTCCAGATCCTCGATGACCATGTGCCAGCAGAAGCGGCCCGTCGTGGTGAACAACTTTTTCTATGAAGCCATGACCGTATCTTTTATAGTTTAGATGGGATGCTGGTGGTCTTCATCAGGTACTCGTATTCCAGATCCTCGAGGGCTGACAAAAAGTAGTCCATGTCCATCTTTACTATGCTATTAATATCAGTGCCAAATTTCGCGAAGATCGGTAAAGCGGTTTGGCTTATTTGGGTAATATCCGCTGTATTTCCCGCTTTTCCTGCTGCTAACCGTTTTCCCGTGGAAATGAGGAATTTCCCGTGGTAAAAAGTAGCCTATGTTACTCAGGAATGTTGTAGCTTTCTAATGGTGAAAGAATTTTCGAAATCGGTCCAGTAGTTTCGGAGTTTATCGATTACATACATACAAAAAAACAAACAAACAAACAAAAAAACAAACAAAGTTTTCCTCTTTATTATATTAGTGTAGATGTAGATGTATGATTGATATGATTATTATGTAAGTATTGTTTATTTATTTACGTAAGTAGGTATGTATATGTATTTATGTAAGGTATATTATTCTACTTAGTTATTTGTTTATTTTGTTAAATTTTCATTTTCATTTCTAATTGCTAATATGCCCCAAAAGTTTTAAGCTCTCTCACAAGACATGGGTTGGCTGGAAGAGATCTCTTTTAAGAGATAAGCTCGCCCTTGCGACAAATATTGTAAACATTTGTTCTGTACTAATATTGCAATAAAGAGTATATATAAATTGGGTATCATTAATATCCTTTATATATTATTTGTCTCGCTTTAAATGGTAAATTGATCCTGTTGGAAAACAAATAAAATAAAATATAATATAACTGAAAATAGAAAATAGTAGCAAATAAAGCCCACTTCGTACTATACTATCTGTGTACTTTCATTTATTATTAAAGTATATTTCATTCTAATAATACAAATTTGACCTTTGCTAGAACAAGAGAACAAGATAAATAAAACAACTTGAGGTAAAGATAACGGTACTATTCTTAATTTACCTATTGTGATATAATCAAAAATAACTGATAAGAATTTACTAATTACTAGTATTGTTCTTTTCAGTAGGTATTTAATTCAAACAGAAAGCAGCAATCAAATTTACAGTTTCTCGTGTACCTTCGATAGCTCAGTTGGTAGAGCGGTGGACTGTAGCTGGTATAACTGTCATCCATAGGTCGCTGGTTCAAATCCGGCTCGAAGGAACTTTATTTTTATTGGTAGTTTTTTAATGCACAATTTATAATCGCAATAACTATTTATAATCACGAATCGCAATAACAGAAACTACTCGTACTATTAAAATAGGCTTAGAATTTCCTTCTGTCTTGGTGCAATAAGTCCTTACTTTTGTTTTTTGTTTGCTTAAAATCGACTACTTACATAAACTGAGGCTCATAAGCCAATTTTTACAGCTGTCAGTCCCATCCTAAAAAAGGTGTCTACAAAAGACAAATAGACCTTTTGTCAAAACATTAGCATGATTTTGACAGCTTGTTAAATTGCTTTATAGGAGTCGACTGAGCTTGGGTACACGATTTCCAGCATGCCTGCTGCCTTTGTTAACTCTGGGTTCACCGGGTCGTTGAACGACTTGGTGTCCCACTCGAAGAAGAAGAATTATACATACATTCAACCAGCGATACTGTTGAAAAAAACTTTATTTGTAAACATCAACGCATTTTAAACAGCGCTTGAATGAATGATCTTGTTATTTAAAACTAGAGCGGCCTTTCACTTTTACTAGGTATTACGCAATTGTTGGAATGCGTTCGCAATTTTGGCACGGACTCATGCGCCTTCGATAGCTCAGTTGGTAGAGCGGTGGACTGTAGCTGGTATAAACTGACATCCATAGGTCACTGGTTCAAATCCGGTTCGAAGGAAACTTTTTGCGTTTTTTTTTATTATTTGGATGTGCTATTTAGTTACTAATCATTAGATAACTATTCAAAAACACCGGCAACAGCTATTTTAAGATTTTTTGTTTAATACCTATAACTCTTAAAATAACCAATTAATAGTTAATCTTACAAATGCGGACTCTTCTTAACAATTTTTTTATCGATATCCCACCCACCCAACCCTATGGTAAAGTTCGCGTGACGGTCGTTTCCTTATGACATTACAAATGGCATCAACGTAATGTTGTACGAAATGTCAGTTTGACCTTATGCTAAGTGTAGGGTGCCCTTAAATTATTCCGGGGGCCGATGTTTGATCTTTGAAAGCCCTTTAGAAATCATAGCTGTCTATTTGTTTAGATAATGAAGGGTAGTTGTCATTTTATGTTTACCTGGATAGTCAGTTCTAGGTACGAAAGTAAATAAGTACCGACTACTCAGATTGTATTAAGCGCACTTTTATGATTGTTCCATAGTGTTTTTTTTGTTACAATAGAAGCTCAAATCACAGACTCCTGAGTAAAAAAAAATGCTTTAAATTAGTGTATCAGCAGTAAGCAGATACAAACAGAGTGTTAAAAACTAATTTGCCTCAAAATATACAGAAACATCAGATAATTTCGCATACTGTTTAAATAAATTTGCAATTTTTGATGAGATGAGCAAATGATGGAACACAGGTGGTTTTTATGGATCCGCATTCATTATTTTTGCTTATAGGACCATCAAGTTTTAAGCAGAGGCTTTGCCTTATTCAAAAATACATTGTACTTAGTTCAAGACTTGTTATATTTCGATTCCCTAATGTTAACAGCCTGAATAAGTACTTGATGTAGCCATTTACGTGAGTAAACGATGTAACTCACCATTTAAATTCTTTGAAAAGTCGTTAAGGCTCTTAGTACGAGGGTTGGCCGCCCTGGCCGGCCCGATACGGACGGGTCGGAAACGGCGCCACTATCGCTGCCCGCTGCGACAGTTTCTATTCAAATTAGGAACGCGGCAGCCATTTTAAAATTCAAATTTCAACCACTGATTCTCTCTACTCTACATACATTGCTGCGTTCCTTTCTACTGATTATCATAATCGTGTCTACAAGCAGTAGTAGTCTGGAGACTTTTCTATAGAGTCGTGTAGTGTTGGAATGTGTGGTGTAGGGTATGTTTAAGCACTAGACGACACGTCAGACCACTTCCGGAAAGTCGTTGGAATAAACGCGTGCTAAGGAAAGTTTTCTTGCTACTTACTATTCTGTATGATAGCAACAGACAAAGATAAGAAAGTTTATAGGTAACAGTTATGAAACTACCTATAAGTTTCAATATTATTTTTATTTTGTTACCTTGTAGGTATTATTATAAGATAACGTTATCAAATAGCTGCATTACATAAAAAATAAGTAATTTTCTCCAATTTGCTCGGAAATGGCTTCATTACTTTAAAAAAAGAATACATCAATGGGCTCATTTATGTAGTCAAGGCGCAGAGGACTGTAATAGAAATTGCCGGACTAGGCCGGAAAAAAAAGGTTCTTTAACTTCACACTTTCGTGATTAGGTGTTTTATGGAACACAATTTGTTTGAAGTTTGAAGGCTGAATGTGAATTTCCCGCGCATTCTTTATGAAACGGAACGTAAGCAAAACCAGCGCATGCGCTTTGCATTCGCGAACTTTAGAAGTTACGAAATGTCAATTTAGTCATGATTTATTTATGTTTCCTTGCAAATTGGAGAAAAGCACTATACAAACCTCGGCCGAAATAACAATTTCTGGTCTCGTTTACTTTATAAGGCCTCGACTTCGTCTCGGCCTTCCAATGCCACTCGACCAGAAATTGCTATATTCTCGGCCTGTGATGTAATGTACTATTCCAGTTCACTTTATTTTCTAGTTATGACTCAAATAGGGAAGGGATCCAATAACCTAAGGAGTTGATTGATAGATATAAAAAAAAGATATTTATCTGAGCTATAAAAATAAGAGTACTTATTTTAGTATAAAATAACCAGATGATATAAATGAGGTAACCTACGGTATTTATGTTTCCAATGAATAATTTTTTGACCAAAACCTAATTAATTATTATTGACACAAATTAAACGAATTCATCAGGATTCGTTGAAATAATTAGCGCTAATTACACTGTAATGTGCAAAGAACGCAATGTTTCTAGCTACAATGATACAAATTTAATTAAATAACCTAGTGTGAATACGTATAATTATTGTGGCTTATCTACGAATTGTGGAATAAAAGTTATTTTCTGACAATTTGGTACAATGTTGCTGTAACGGAGGCGGTTAAACATAAATCTACTATTACCACTACAGCCGAAACAGTCCACTGATGGACATGTACCTCACTCATTTTGTTGTTTTGCCACACTCACCAAGCTTGGCAGGCGGATAGGCAAGCGCAGTACAAGATTGTAGATATTTACCGGATAAAGAACATAATTAAAGGAGTTTTACCAGAGCAAATAGATATGTATGACAAACTTTGGTTGGAAATGGTATTATGGAAGAAATTAAGTACCAAGGTGCATACCTAATACCTACTTTAAAAAAGTTACTCCTTCGAGCCGGATTTGAACCAGCGACCTATGGATGACAGTTGAACCAGCTACAGTCCACCGCTCTACCAACTGAGCTATCGAAGGCTTGACGAAATATGACAAACAATGCATTACTTTCAATGCAAAAATAAATACAAGATTAATAAAAAGTACTCCTTCGAGCCGGATTTGAACCAGCGACCTATGGATGACAGTTTAACCAGCTACAGTCCACCGCTCTACCAACTGAGCTATCGAAGGCTTGATGAAACGTGTCAAACAATGCATTACTTTCAATACAAAAATAAATAAAATAATAACAAAAATAACTCCTTCGAGCCGGATTTGAACCAGCGACCTATGGATGACAGTTTAACCAGCTACAGTCCACCGCTCTACCAACTGAGCTATCGAAGGCTTGACGAAATGAGACAAAAAGTGCATCACATTCTACAGTACAAAAATAACTATTAACCAAAAAATAGTCCTTCGAGCCGGATTTGAACCAGCGACCTATGGATGACAGTTGAACCAGCTACAGTCCACCGCTCTACCAACTGAGCTATCGAAGGTACAGTAAGTGCGGTCAAAATCGCGTACGCATTGGCAGAAATGATGCAATCTGGTGAAAGGTGCGCTTGCGCTCTAGATAAGTAGTTTACGCGTACACGTTTTGCAATGCAGTGACGTAGAGGTCTGCCCCCTCTACCCTCACCAAGGTCTTACGTGTGCATGAATGCTGACCATATGATAATCTGATAATATTATTGAATTTATCGCATCACAGCATACCTTGCAGCAGAATTTAAGACGCTGGATCAATAAATTTTCGTACTAAGATATGGATTAAGAACACATACATTCATCACGTTTTTATCCCTTGCGTGGTAGGCAAAGTGTAAACGGCTGCAAAACGGTCATTTACACCACATCTGACAGTAGTTTGAAAGTCATTCAGAAGACTGTGTATCACCATAGTGACAGACTAAGAACAAAAATGGAGAAATGAGAAAAAAAGATCCTCCTTCATAAATTACACGATCCCAAGGCATGTTCCTTGGAGAAGTAATTTGTCGTGATTTGTAGTGTGTCATCCCCAACCGAAAACGCCGAAATTCAGCCGCCGAATTTCGGTCACCTAATTTCGATCGTAGTGTGTCGAGGCACTAACATATACACCATATATTACGAAATCTTAAATTTCCATGATCCAATTGAAAACAGCGCCAAGCCCGCTCAGATCCGGTGTTACTGCACTCCTGCACGATGCACCTGCACCGTGTACGTTCTTATGCATTTCCATATTAATTGAGGGTGCGGATCCGAGGAGCAGGGTCTTGCCTAGTTCAGCACGAGAGATGGGGCTTAGGCGAATCGCTGATGCAGTGACTAAGGTAGAGGATTACTTATTTTACGGCATATCTGCGATAGTATTCTTACATAGGTCTCATGTTAATACGAAAGAAGATAAGCGATCTAATTATACTAAGACAGTCCAATTTATTTGGGCAGCTGGTTGGACAAAGGGCGTGAGAAGAATATCCGTTAATGAATGCCAGATGCATCATTGAATAACTATCATAGTACTTACAAACTATTTTTGGGTTTCTGTTCTAAGTTACACAACTAGAAGATAGAGATAGAGTTTAAGATAAAGCCAGCTTCTACATCCAGAAGAACCGAGATATAATTTTGAGTAGCTACCTACTTACAAGACTACCTACAAAAGTATATCAATAATAATATTATGGATACGACACATTGCACACGGCTAAACTTTAACAATAGTGTCGAACTATCACAACCGACGTCTTTATCAGTCGATCTACTCAAAATACTACGTTCGCTAAACTATTCTATGTACGGTCAGATGACAAAGCACTGTCTTTTATGTTTGTTTCAAATATATGAGATAGAAGATTCCAAAGAATAACCCCTCTTTGTAACGTCGCCTGTACCTGCAAGTAAACGGATAGTCAGTTCACTTTTTGCATTTGTAAAGATACGATCGGTTCAGTTTTTTGTCGCCTTAGTACGGTTTTCATGTAACCAACGCGATATAAAAGAAGAAGAAGCTAGGCACTTTCTCTTCCTTTGATTAAAAGATTATTCCTTTTAGCAGGAGGTATAGGAAGGAAACTTCTCGTTTTCAAGCTGGACACCAAGTTGCCCAACGGAGTAAGGAAACGCATCGAAAGGAAAGTCTCTAATCTGACTACCGTCAAAAGTATCATCCGAGAACAACAGACATTTTGGAGCATTCCACGAAAACGTCTTGTGCCGGACACCCCTAATTTTAATACTTCCGTGAAAGAGACGGTTTTTGTTACTGACTAATATTAAAACTATCCCAATGGCATTATGTTTTACACTTTCTATAATTTTGTATTTTAAGCATAATAATTAGGTGCTACCATACAGTCTTG